AGATTTATAGCCATAGGCGCTTGGAAGACATTAGTTTTAGTGTAACTTATGTAAAGTGTGTAGACGTTGTTTATGAGTAGGTTATAAAAAAAGAAAATCGTATACAAAGTAATTGCTAAATTCTAGTCACTTTTCTTTTGCAAGTTTATCAATATCGGATTCGGATTCGATATCAAACAGTTGAGAACCGTCGTGGATTTTCCCGTAAGATGTCCAAAAGTATTTTTAACTTTAGTGACGCGAAATCCCTCGCTAGGAAATAAAGTCGTCGGGCCCTTGCAGTCAAATTTTCGGAGACGTAAATCGGTACCTTCGGACCGTCTATTTTCACATGACCGGTATTAAGTTTATTTTCTTTATTAAACCTGTTGAACTATTTGAGTGCCGTCAAAACATCGTCTTTCAGTGGAACTGTGTTGAAATGCACTATAATAGGTTTGTTCTCGCCGTTTTTGTTAATACGAAAGATGTCTTTCACCTGGGATTTATGTATAGGTACATCAATATATTCGCCAATATCAGCAACTATCTTGATAAGATCTTGTTTAGATTCGTGGTGATTCAGGATGTTTCTTTTTTCTAGGCTAGAAGCGCGGCTTTGCCTTTCCAGGTGTGTTCGATTTTGTCTTTCAGTTGACGTATGTATTTTGGTCTTCTTTACGACGATGATCTCATCGTATTTAGCTGAGGTAAAATCTGCCGATTGCTGTAGTTTAATATATTTTTAGAAGTCGGAAATTAAGAAAATTAATTAAGAAATTGCAAAACAATGTATTTTAGAATAGATGCAAGAACACGACGCAATTGATTCAGTTCGACAATAGATTATGGTAACGTTCTTGTACGTACGTTTCATTTTAAGCATGATTGAATGTTTACCAACCTAAAGTATTGGTTATTTTATGGTACACACATAAAACATTAAAGCTATAAAATACCTGATCAAATAATCAATTAAACAATAATGACATATAATAAAAAATAAAACACAATGTGACAAAAATGTTTAGACAATATTTAAATGTTTATTTTTTCCCATCCTCTAAGTTAATGAGAGACACGAAAGTTAGCAAAGGACCGTTTTGACATAGAGACCTCTGCCAATGACAATGTCACTTTGAGATTGAGAACAGTGTGACCATTTGTGGCAGATTTCTGGTATTTGGGCAGATTCAATATTTATTCATTTTCATTACGACAGCACATGTTAACGTTGTATTAAATGTGGCAGAGTTTGGCAGATTTAGGAATATTCAGCAAGTGCATTATTATTTTTAGGAACAAACTGAAAAGTTGTTGCTTTCTGCTACTGCGAATGAACATCCGAAGCGAAATACAGGACAATGTTATAAACATAACCTATATCAAGTTTATAACCTCCAGCTTTTACAAACTGTACTCAATTAGCTTTTTTAATGCTTTGATAATGAATCACAAGAATTGATAGGTCTCTTTAATGCACGTTGTCAAAAACACTGAGTCACAAAATTCACGGGATGTCGCCATCCTTCTTTACATTTTATGTAATCAAGTAAAAATCATCAATATTGTAGTAGCATTGAGTAACTAACAAATTATGCAATTTCATTTTAAATTGTCTACAATTTAATTCTTTAACAGCATCCGGTAATTTATTAAATAATTTGGGTGCTAATTAGAGATACCACTAATAGTGATTTGGCCGAATACCGAATATTCGACCACGCTCTCGGCGAAGCGCCGAATATTCGGCTGCCGGCACATTGTCAACTGCATCATCCATTACAATTGTATGCTACGAAAATAGAAATTAAAATAAAAGAGAACCATTTTAACAGTTAACGAAATAACACTTCTATTTTGGTTCCAGAATGAGTGTAAAAGAGCAGCAAGTCGTAGAAAGTAGTAATAACAAGTTGCTTTTAAACTATAAAGTTTTTATAACTACGAAAGACAAAAAAAATATTTTCACACACACCAGTCCAATCTATTTCTGTGGAGGCAAAGGCTTCCAAGTTAAGATAGATGTCGCCAAGTATGGGATAGAAGCTATGGGAATTCAAATAATTATCAACGTCAGATTCATCAATGTACTTATACATGATGATTTATTATACATTTGCAAGGTTTCCAGCGCTAAAACAAATATAACAGATTTTTCCTTTACCGACACTGAAAATTGGCACCAATTTCACTACTATACAGAAGAAGCGTATTTAAATTGTCAATTCGATTTCGATTTATCTGTAAATATAGATACAGCTCCTACAGTCAACCAATTTGCAAATCTGTATGAGGATACAGAGGGGACCGATTTCAAGCTGCACTGTGAAAAAGGGACAGTGAACGTCCACAAGGCAGTACTTGCTAGTACCAGCCCAGTTTTTCACACAATGCTCAATAGCCAATGGAAAGAAACAAACGAAGGTCACGTAAAGATTCCAGTCGCGAGCATTGAAGTACTGGAAAATCTAAAAAAGTATATATATCTGAAAAATCTACCTGACGAGAATTTGGAAAGCCTCATTGAGCTGGGGTCTTATTACGCGATGCCGGAGTTATTGCAGAGATGCGCCGTGAAACTTGCAAATAAACTTTCAGATAATAATATAGTTGAAATGTTGGCGACAGCAATAAAATTCCGAGTAACCAATTTGCTCGAATACATCTTAAAGTACGTTGAAAAGGGCTTGATTGACTTTGATAAAATCCCAGAACTGGTTAGCTGGTATGAAGACTTAAAGATTACAGCTAAGCACGGACACACATAATGCAACATTACCATAATATTACTAAACATTCACTTTATCATCCAAAGAAAGAAAAGTGTTTTTTTTTAAATATCAATTTAGCTCCTATTTTTATATTTTCTTGTATTTTAGATAATAATTATTTTGTTAATGTAAAGTCATGCCAAAACCATTTCATTCCGTTAGATTATAAAATTTAAATTAAATTACACACATACTCGTACCATCACGCCCGTCTGCCACCTGTGCAGGCACAAAATACAGACCTCCATCTGTTTCTGTTACACTCCTGGCGTACATCGTTCGTTTTATCCACTCGCACCAATCTTTTCGTACATGTGCGTGTATCGTCGGTACTTTTGACCCTGGTCATTTTTGGTTACATCCTCAGTCTGAGATTTAAAAAATGACCTTTAGAAATACCACGTTCCATTTATGTCGATATTTCACTAGCATCCATCATTTCCATTTGACCACACCATCAATGCAATTCCTTTTCTATCCTCGTCACTACATAATTATTCACACTACAACGCTCTCGTCATACTCTTCCTCCTTCTGACTCTGATAATTACACCACACTTGCAGAGCAACGACCTCTTCTCTATAGTATTCGAACTACTTTCATATTATTCATATATTTCTTCTGCCAACGTGCTCCCATAAGCAGCCAGAAATGCCTTTTTTGACACATATTTGCTACTCTTATAGGCAGCCAGAGTTCTGTTTACCTGATTTCACTCTATGTATATCAGCTTCACACTTGCCATTTCTAGTTAATATATTGCCCCTATTTTTTCATACATCTATTGCGCCAATACACAAATTCTTTCTACATGTTCTATGCCATATTAATTGAATTTATTTAAATTATTACACTGTTAAGTACTTAATTTACTTTATTTTTATATCTTAATAAATAAGTTTAAATTCCTTTGTTCATCGCATTTAATATCTAACCTACGTTCATTGAAGGTTGTCTAAACTTGAACACTTAGTTATACACTTGTTATTTCGAAGTTAAATTTTGTACGCTCAAAGGAGTCACAACGCTTATGAACGCGGACACGGCTTGAGCCAGTCATAAAACAGCCCTTGTCTTTGTAATATGTGCGAAAAAGACGTTGTATATTTCGCAAACGCACGCCTTTTCCGCTCATTATACTTAAATATACACTTTCTCTCTGATCGCCTTATCGATAAGTAACTTCGTAAGTGGTATATAAGTAACCAAATAACCACATTATTACAATTTGAATTTTATATTATTAATTTAATTACAGAAATGTTTTATACTTGACACGTTCTCGGATTTCACAAATTGTCTCCAGCCACATGTTATAAACATACTTATGGAGACGTACAGCGCATACAATGCAATGAGGTTTTTTTTCAGTAGACGTGAGTTTAGGCTTAGATTTGTTTTATACTTACTTGTGAACTAGGAATACTTCTGTGGTCTGCAATTATATGACCCGAGTATTCCGGTGTACTTATGTTTATGGAACAAAAACTGATAAACTTGTCAGTATGTTTTGGTCCTTGTGAATTCAGTGTATTAGATACACATTCCAGTGTTACCCTAGCTACGTTAAAGAATTTAGGTATTAAATTCTTTAACGTAGCTAGGCCTTGGCCAAGCACTTGATCCTAATGACCATGGCTTATAATGATACACTCTTAATTTTGTTTATTTCTGTCTTAGTTTTGAACATTTCAAGGTTGATTTTGTGTAGGTAGTCTAATATGTTCAACAATGTTACTAATAGGGGAGTCGCCACGCGAAAAAGACGTTGCACGTTTAGCTGCCGCTTGGACCGCAGACGCAAAACGCACAACTTTTTTTCTCTTAATACATGCTTACTTTTAAAGCTTTTCAGACCGGCTTATTGCGATTCCGTAGCGATAAGTGTGGCGAGCCCTTAAATCAGGTATATATTTGTTGTCGTGTTTTAATGGTTAAGTTTGATTCTTTATTTTGATTTTAATTAATGTAAGTAATAAATAAAAATTTCCACATTATTGGTATTGTTGTATATTTTTATAGTTAAGTTTCAAAGCACTTTAATTAAATGTAGCATCTACTTAAATTCAATTAAGTAAATAAAAGTAATAAATTAGGTTGTTCTGTAGTTGGCCCCTTTTTCACTTGCATGTTTTTGATGGGTTGTACAAGGGAAGTAAAGCGAAGTTCCAAACATTTGCCTTTTTAAAAACAAGCTCTCCAAATCTCGTCTCGTCTCGCCGGTGAAAAAGTAGCTTTATGTGTACTTAATAATTTTAATGTTGGAATTGAATGGAAGGGTATCGACTCCTGCAGCTAATCATTTCGGCTGCAAAAGCGATGACAGCAGCTAAAGCGCCCGCAGCCAGCGCTGCCAAAGGCATGGAGAATTCCCGCACGGACACCGCGACCAGTTGGCTGTCAGCCGTCCGTACGCATCGCGGACGTGGCTCATCCCAAATTGATTTGATACGTTGCATCAAACCCGATTCAAACATCTTACGGAGTCTGCAAATTTAAGTTATCTTAAACTCGGTAGGTACAAATCGTCCGCAGAAGTTTTAAGTAGCAGTTCGTCTAGGGGAGTAGGTACTGCCACTTGACCTATTTCTGCCACGAAGCAGTAATGTCAGCATTACTGTGTTCCGGTTTTGAAGGGTAAGGGTACTGGTGAAATTATAGGCACGTGGGACTTGTCAACTTATGTCTCAGGGTGAGGGGCGCAGTGGGCAGTGCCCCTCAGATCTTTGCGATTTAAAGCTCTTGAGTAGCACTGTAACTGTTATGGACAGGCGTGTCACTTGATATTATATAAAAAGTCCTACCTAACACAACTTACTATAGACTACCCGCTCTTTGCTGACACACATGACCTAATATCTCTGATGCCACGCAGTATATGGACTTCCCACTACAATTTATCACATCTAGAATACGTATAATGTTAGATAAGATCATGTTTACGTGCGTGTTCGTATGAATCGTAGGTATTGTATGAAATTTCAATAAAGCCGCAGATATTAAAAAGCGCAATCGATCCACCCGCTCATTACCATTGTACACCAAGCACACAAAGATGCGGAAAACTTTTTTGAAAGATTGACTGCCTCTGTGGCCGAACGGTTACCATGCCGGACTGCCACGCAGAGGTCCCAGGTTCGATTCCCGGGCCGGGAGAAATATTTGTATGGCCTACATTTATTTCTCTCGTGAGTTTGGGTGTAATTTGTGGTTGTCTATGTGTGTGTCCATAGCACCCGCGACACAGGGTTTCCCTAGTGCGGGGCTATGTTGAGTGTGTGCGTTATTATTATTATTATTATTATTATTAAACCTTAATTTCTTTTTCTATTTCTTACCCATAAGCGAAATGTTCCTTATACGGCGAGCCTTTCTTCACAACAGAGACCATATTCTGGGGAGGATACAAGGCGATTTCATGAGCATCACATAGCTCTCGCTCGTTGAACGTATTCCTCATTATCCCGTAAGCAATCGAGTTATCCACCAAGAATGCAAAGCCACCCTTTTTGACGAGTGCCATTCCGTACTCCAGGTTTAAAAAATTTGATGCCACAGGCGTAACTATCTTTCTACTGTACATTTCTAAAGCTATTGGGTCGGTTGTACGCTGGAAAGGAAAAAACAAACACATAGTTATAATGACACAATGACATGCTACACCTCGCCTATGCAGTTACAGCGTAGGTAATAAATACTACAGTGCTTGGTATTGGCTAGCGATGCAACGGAAGTGTCATAAATTCATAATGAAAACAGATGACAAAAGTAAATCTTAGCGGAAGTGTACCTAACTATTTTACAGATATCAACAAAATAGTTCCATCCTCTAAATTACAGACACATGCGACTTGTCAACTTATGTCTCAGGTTGACGGGCGCAGTTGCAGTGCCCCTTAGATCTTTGCGATTCTGAGTGGCACTGCGATTGTTATGGATAGCCGTGTAACCTCACCATCAGGCGCATGACGAAAAAAATTCCAAACGGCTTGATTTTGGTTTCATAAATGCACTTGACACAAAATTGTTAAAAAACGCGCGCTCCACCGCCAAGAAATCGGCACGCGCGTCTGGGGGTCGACACTCATTCTCTGTCCGACATTTGTCCGCAACAATTACTTTCAAATAAGTAATAAAGAAAAAAAAGTAAAAATAAAAAGGTATTTATTTCTCCACAAAACATAAGGAACACAATACTTAGAAAATGAATAGAAAAAAAACAATTCAGTGATGTGGACAAAAGGTTAAAGACTCGGCATTGCTGATTTTCAGTCCTCACCTGTAGCTTTATATACTCGACCCAATTAAAAGGCAATGTGAAGTATGAAGCTTCATTCGCATCATGCGTCTTTTAATTTGGTTGTGTATTATTTATTTGACAGTACCTAATTGTTTTGGACGGATGTATAAAGGTTGCGGAAGCAGAAACGGAAACAAATGTTAAAAAGCGTGCGAAACTTCCGCAGTTACGGAACCAGAAGCAGAGGTCTGTTGCTTCACTAGTATTGACTTGGAGCCAATTTGAAAGACGATTATTACGCTTAGTACGATTTCGCAAATCTTAATTTTTAATTCTCAGTACATACCGTGAAAAAGTCCCTGTTGTAGAGCACATCATGAACTCCAGCATCCAAGTTACTGTTGAGTAAATCTTTGGGAGTTCTTATATTCTTGGGTGCCTCACGGAGCAACGTAGACACGACAATTGCATTGTAGTACTGATAGATAGTCAGAGTGAACAGGAATGTTACGAAGATCACTAACTTGATAGACGTTGAATTTCTTGATAGTGTTAAACCTGCAGTTTGAATTTGAAATGGTTTCTACTGCCTTTTTTTCCACAATTTTATATTTAGACAAAATATATTCAGCCTACCTTGCTGACAAACGGCGCTCCAAATTGTGAGCAGAGCAAGACTAGGCGAGGCGTCAACATCATCACCAGGATGTCGCAATATGCGAAGCTTTACCAGCATGGTGAGAATGGTCCCCGCAAGGGTTAGAACGGCCATCATGCAGTACCACACGCTGTTAGTCAATGGACGCGTGAAGATCGAGTAGTAGCCACCAGGATGTTTCGGGTGCCGTAAAATGAAAACAGGCCTGACCAAATTAAATATAATTTAATAATAAGTAGAAGATAAAAAATAAAATAAAAAATACGATTTATTAGTGATATTGAGAGGAGACCCGTGCCCAGCAGTGTGACGTATAAATAGGTTGATGTTTATGTCCAAATATCGAACAACCACAAATAATGACTTTTACGCCAAACCAGGGATATCACTCTCTCAATTTAGCTACGCAACAAGTTAGCAGAGGACCTACGAATGCTTGTTTATTATGTATTTATCTATTCAGCTTTGGCTATAAAGCCAACAGGTGATAAAGAATTAAGAAACACGAAATGTACTAATAATGTAATACTAAATAAATTAATTATGTAAAAATCTTTTTCACTTATTTTTATTGCCGAATGCAAAATTATTGTTTTAAAGGCTTTTTGCCGTAACGCCACCTATTACAAACATATGAAAGTTTTCTTCACTCAGTGAAAAAGTAGCAGTAGGGCTAGCACATAGTTTCCGAAAGTGGTCCCCGCCGTTTATACGCTACGCAAATCGGTATAGAGTTCATTTATGGCATGGTTACAAAATTCGCTTCCATTCCGTTCCACGGCAATGTAAGTTGAACCTTAAGTCGCCTTTAAATCAGACGCTTATAGAAGCGCTGCAGTCGCGTCAACACTACTAATTTTCATACAATATTTAGAAGCGCAGCTGCAGCACCACAACAGACCTGGCACTTACGCAGACTGGACAATACTCAAGATAATATTGTAAGAAAATTAGTAGTGGCGATGATAGTACATACATAACAATGTACTCTTTGGGCTGCCGCGCCTCAGAAGCGTCACTGCACTGCAGCGCTTCTACAAGACTTACTTAATTTGATTAATTTCAATCTTAATAAAAGTAAATTAGTTTTAATTATTAATACAAAGATCGAACACTCAGAAAAAATTCCTTCGATCGGTGGAGTAATTTCACAAAAAAATAATTTAATATCAATTCAATAAAAATTTAATTAATACAGTGAACAGCGACATCTCTCGCCAGGACTGGTAGCTTTAAAGGTACTAACTGGGTGATAAATCTGTCATAGATTTCTCATAGATGGCGCTACGACTAAAAAGTCGTTAAAAGACCAAGTACAAAGACACGACGCAAGCACATAGAAAAATTCGTGAGGTCCGTTCCGTGGCTTAGTTGGTATAGCGTCTGGCACGGTATGCAAGAAGACGTCGCGTCGGTTCGAATCCGACCGGATCGAAGGAATTTTTTCTGAGTGTTCGATTTTTGTATTAATAATTATAACAAACTAGTGGCGTAATTTCACAAAAAAAATAAATTGAATATCAATTCAATAAAAATTTAATTAATACAGTGAATAGCATCATCTCTCGCCAGGACTGGTAGCTGTAAAGGTACTAACTGGGTGATAAATCTGTCATAGATTTCTCATAGATGGCGCTACGACTAAAAAGTCGTTGAAAGACCAAGTAGGTACAAAGACACGACGCAAGCACATAGAAAAATTCGTGAGGTCCGTTGGTTCGTTCCGTGGCTTAGTTGGTATAGCGTCTGGCACGGTACCTATGCAAGAAGACGTCGGTTCGAATCCGACCGGATCGAAGGAGTTTTTTCTGAGTGTTCGATCTTTGTATTAATAATTATAACAAACTAGTGGAGTAATTTCACAAAAAATAATTGAATATTACAATTGAATTGAATTGAACATACAATTCAATAAAAATTTAATTAAATTAGTTTTTCTTAACCTACCTTGAAGGCCATACTTCTATAGTGGCATCAAGAACTTTGGCACGCTCCTGACGAAAGAAAATAGGTGAACCTCCGATGTCAGCCTCCAGTCTCTGTAGCGTGCCGATCATTCCATCAAAACTGCCGTTGCGCAGGTACCCCCACGAATTCGTCCGTCGAAGCTTGTAGCTAGTAAATTTAATACCTACTAATCAGTCTAATCCCTACATTCTCCAATTTATTCTACTCCAGACTACCGAAGAATCAGAACTTTACTTACCTCATATTATACATGTCTCGTAGATATTTCAACAACGTGTAATACTTTAGTTTGTGTAAAGTATCCGACTTAGACAGTTTCGATCTCTCGGTATACGCCTCGAACGTCTCGTTCATCACCTTCTGTGTAATCACTACCGTGCATTTCAACTTAACACCGGAAAGGTCCGTACGTCGACGCTTCTCCAAACGTAGCGACGAATCCCATCGCCCTATCTTCTTTACTTTTAATTGTCCGCTAGTATAGAAACCAGTATTATACATTTCATGCAAATTGAAAATGTTGTTGTCAATTTTTTTAATAATTGTAATATCAGAATCAATTTCTATAGGGTACTGAGACAATACACCAATAGTGGAATTAAAATCTTGCGCAATAACAAACCATTTGAAAGGACTCTTGAATATAGCTGGCGCCCTCAAATTATCTAGAACTGTAAACCAGTTATTACAAGAAGTGTTAAGAATCATTCCAATTCTTGGATAGTAATGTGGAATCGCAAATGAAGTGTTGTACTGAGTGTGGATACTGCTAGTTTTAATTTGATTAGCAGCAAACATTTTGTGAATTGCAATTTCGCTATTTGCATTGTTGCAATGAAAATTTACTGCATTATTAATGTTTTCATACTTAAATAACTTAGTCAATACAGAGAATTCTATAGGTAAAATAGCTGTGAGAAATAAGTTTAAGGAAATGGAGTTCATGGTAGCAACAATAAAAAGAAAATGACACAACGGGCTGACTGAAAAATTTTATTGAACTCTAGTGACATGCTAATTGTAATTGGTGAATCATTACTGTCAACAGACTTATGTATGCAGAATGGTTGACATGATGATTACAAAATTACAGATAAACACTGTAACAAATGTTTGCCTAAAGGAAAAATACTAAGAATAAATTGCAAAATTACACAAGTTCAACAGGATGTTCCTAAGAAAATATTCTATAATAGATATTAGAAGTCATACACAGTAAAAACATCTTGGAACGGAAATTCTGCCTTATCAGGTATCAACAAATCTGACAAGTAACATACAGTACCAGCAGTGCCTTCATAAAGACTCTCTGGGTTGTCAGGTAAACGTGCCTCTCGGACAAATTCATCTGTGTTCATAAAATCTGCAAACATCTTTGCTCTAAACAAATGCTTATCATTTCCAGTCAGCCTGTGTAGGAGCAAAAAAACATATCCATTGCCAGCTACACCGTGACATATTCCAGGACCTTTTCGGAGCAGCCCTTTGTTCCATACAACCTCACCAGCATTGATACATGCATTTAAGTACCTTTCATCTTTAAATGTTTTGTATGCCTTAGCCATGAGGTAAACAGTACCAGGAGCTCCATGACACCAATGTACCAACTTATGGTCACTTAGCCCTATCTCTTCTAAGCAGCAAGGCCAGTTACCTTCATCAGTCTGCAAAGAGGCGATGTAGTCCAAAGATACTTTGACATCTTGTGCTGCAGACTTATTCTCGTCTAGATAGCCAGGAACGGTCATGAGCATTTGCAAAATGAAGCTAATTCCATGTGCTGCTCCCAGATATTCAGTATTATAATAATGATACATTAGAGGACATGGGCTCCTGTGCTTCTTTGCATATTCCCTTCCATTGGAAAGAATCATATCACAAATTTTGTACAATTCAGCATGAGAAAAGACATTCATTTTGAGCTCGCGACTGATCCACAGTGCACCAGCGAGGTAGCCCGATCGGCCCACAAAGAACTCGTCGCCACCACATTTCAGGAACTTGGGATGCAAGTATGAGTTGTATAGTGACTTGTAGGCTTTTAGTGACTCGTGGAACTCGTCATCGCCAGCTTCTTTATATAACACTGTAGCCAGGGCGTATGTGCCCGCGTCGCCGAGTAAAAACGATGTTTTGTCGCCCGCAGATGTCTCCATAGCAGGCTTTAGGTACTCGATCCCCTTCTGGAGGTACATCGCTTTGTGCTCTGACAACAGGGGGTTTTTAGACAAATAGTAAAACATATAAGCAACGCCGGTAATTCCGACGTACAATCCACCGTCAACATTCTTGCGCGATGGCTGTAAACGTTTGGTGATATTCGATATATGAGCGTCTATTTGTTTTTTTATGTCATGCTGGTTTATTTCTGCAACATTGGACGAGCTGAAGTCTTCAAAGGGATTTGCAAAGTATCGCACCATCACTGCAAATGGTGAGAGAGACGAAAATAGCTTTCGTATGGTGCGGAAAGAAAATAATTGGGGAAACTTTGCACTCATCAATCAACGATGACCACACGTATTTGAACTCTTCGCTAAACTTTTACTTTGTGCTTTTTGTGAATTTTTTTCAGTCTCCTTCAAGAACAAGAAGATTATTTTGGCCGATGTCAATGTTGCTTCGCTATGTTGTTTTGTTTTTGTGTATTTTTTTTCGGCTAGCTTAGTCCTGCCAGATTCATTCACTTTCATTCAGAAACTCCAAAGAGAAAGATATCTAGCAAATGTAGACTAGATACCATCACTAATATACAATGTACTCTTTGTCTACAACATCACTGTTTATTTTTATTCCATCTAACTACAGGCTGGTATGTACTATAACGCAAATTTGACATAAAAATTACATTTTTTCCCTTTTTGCTCTCTATACTTTTGCGGGAGACGAAAAACACATCCTTCCCTCCGATTGGCAGCGTTGCCAATGCAAATTATTTAATATCCCCAAAAATCAAGATTATAAATTTAGGGAGAGCAAAGACCTTATTTTCCACATGTAACAATATTGGTTCATTCTCAGTATTTATTATATTACTATTGTTACGCTTAAAAATATATCAAATAATTAAGAAAGTCAAAATGTGTCCATCTATACATATACGTTATGCTATAATTAGAAATAAACTCAACAAGTTGAATTAAGTTTACACCTTAATATTTAATCTTGCCGAGTGGCAAGTTGTGGTATTAAAATACCTACTGCTCGGCTTTGTTTGGCAACAGCTGTTTTCTTTTTTTTATACCGGAGATCGTCCAAAACGTGAGAAAGGGTCGCGCGCTCAACTCGCACCGACTGATCATCATCATCCTATTTAAGAACCAGGCTATTGTCGGTGACTTATAATAGTAGTAATTTTTCAATTCAAGCCAAAGTGATTCTAATACTAACGGATAAATTTATACATATAAGGATTTGCTAATAATTCTATATAAATGTTGCTATATAAGCGGGGCATGTGCGATGTTGAAAAAATATCAATATCGTTCATAAACAAATAAACAGTGTTTTTATCAGTGATCATCAATGTAACAAGAATATGATAAAATGCTAGTATGCGAGGGCATTTTCCTCACATAGCGTAATCCCCACAAAATCCCCGAACGAGCTTATGAGTTGAAATTCCCTGCATTTGGGGAATTCTCCACAAATTGGCAACACTGCAGTTAGTTCAGAAAAAGTTTGACGAAAGATTCGGACGCCTATCGGACGTGTATTGAGTGAATCCGATCCGATGGTCAGATCCGACTCTTATTAGTTTGTGGATCCGACTATCAGGCACAAAATCGGATGTGTATGTATTCCCGCACTGAACAGCGATGGGCGATAATTACTAGAAATAATCGGATTATTCGGTTATAAACATAATCGAAATAATTCGATTGTTGAAATATCCATTAGTTACTAATAATTAGTTACCTACTACACTTTTCGATTATTGATCAAATATCGATTGTGAATCGAAATGTTACCGATCTACTAAGTTACTATTTTTTATTGTTGATCAAACATCGGTTGTGAATCGAAATAGTTACTAATCTACTAGTTACTATTTTTAGTAATAGAATTGATTGATTGTTACATGACTTATTAAATTAGTAATAGGATCGACTGGTACTAAATAAGTAAAGGATTTTTTTATTTATTTATTTTACATTCCACAGTATAGACGACTTTTGAATTAGTAAGTACGGACAACAGCGCATCAGACTACACATTTTTGGTTTTTTAAATAGTCTTAAGCGACGGGAGGACGGGAGTCAATATTTATGTTTTCACTTTCACTTAAATCACATTTTATTTTTTATCACTTTGAACAAAAACTTTAAATTCGTAATTGTTGGAATTTTTAGGGTAAAATCATTTATAATTTGGTTTAAAATAAGGAATATAGTTCTAACTTTCTTCATCACTATTTCTTTCTTCGTTTTTTCTTCATAATAAACTTGAAATAAAAATAATATTTGTAAAAGATGTACCTTCTCACTATGTGTTACGTGGCTGTACTAGTAACCACAAATTAGAAAGATTTAAGGGTCGTATTCCAGAACTCTACTCAATGCTCAAGTCAGGATTTGAGTATGATTTCAAGCACTGGAAGTACGACCCTAATGGCAAGAACTTGAGTATGATTTCAAGCACTGGAAATACGACATTGGTAAAATATTACACTTGAAAACGCCATTTTATAAGTTACTTTGAATGTAACTTTTATACTCAGGAAATGACAATCTTAACACATACTCCGGAATCATATTGTAATAAAATCATATACCTACAGTTCCTCATAAAAGAATCGTTAACTTTAATGATCCAGTACATAAAACCGTAAGCAAACCAGAATCTGTATTTCAGGTGCAATTGGGTAACCACGGTTGTCTGATTTCACTCATCTGCTATGATAGGTTAAATTATTTTTTTTTTACCAAATCTTCCATGTCGTACGGATCTTGTAGGTCTTTCAACATCTGAAGCAATTGAAAATGATATTCATCATTAATACATTTTGATAAAGATCAAAATGCTCAAATGGTTTCATCGTAATTTTGTAATTTTTTCGCCGATTATTATGTACTCAAGCGCAACCAGGACCTCACTCAAGTAAATACAGATTTTGACAACACTCAAGACAAGATTTTACAGTTGAATACCGTTTAGGTAACAGTAAAACTGAAACGAATCTCAAGCATTGTTCTAAAATTAAGACGTAAGCTGTCACTTCCTCTGCCATTACTCAGGTGAACTCCGATTACAGATTCTTAACGATTCAAACGCTTGAGTAATGTTCTGGAATAAAAACTCCAAGTTCAAGTCAGGACTTGAGTATGAGTTCAAGCACTGGAAATACTACCCTAATTGCAAGACTTGAGTATGATTTCTAGTGCTTTAAATCATACTGAAATCCTGACTTGAGCATTGAGTAGAGTTCTGGAATACGACCCCTTCAACCATTCTCCAACCTTTTACCAACATCGTTTTAGAGGCAGGTTCATATAAAGTTATGGTCGCACACATTTTTTTTTGTTCTTGACTTTTGCGGTGGCCTGACAACGACGATACATTAAAATATTATTAAATTCATAATTAAACAATAAAAATAGTAAAAGTAGTATGTTAATCAATATT